CTGGTGGACTTCAACTCTCAGATTCCCCAGCCAGCTTTTTGGGAGTTGAAGTCCACCAGACTTAAAGTTCCCAAGGCTGGAGAGCCTTGTTTTTTTAAATCCTGAGTTTTAAAGGATTTAAGTCCTCCATTTTTTTTGTCTCTGACCGCAGTGGGTATAATTTGCGTTGGGCATTGATTCCTGTCCTTCTTTGTAATAGATGTGTTTGTCTCTTTGCTTCTTAGACTGCATGATGTGCTCAATAACCTGCGCCTAAAATTAGCCAAGCAGATCAAGCAGTATCGTGAGGAGAACTTGACACTGACAGCTGACTATAAGCGGATTGTGGAGCAGTTCAAGGACTTGCAGAGAACAATGAGGTGGGACTGCACCCTGGAACGAGGGACAGATGAAGGCAATTTGAGATAGTTTGTTGCTTGGCCTAGAATTCTGCAGTCAGTTACGTTGCCCTCAGAACAGATGAAGAATTGTGTTCTTTACACTAAGAATCCTGTAAATCCATGTTGTGGGGAGGGGGTGAAGAATGAACTATTCTTTGTGTTTACCTTCAACCAATTAAACTGTAAACATCTTTCAGTTAAGAGATAATCCAAATAACATAGTCCATAATCATACAAACAGTCCGGTACACAAAGTTTTCTAGCAGTTGCAAAACTTACAATAGCTCACATTGAACACTTTACAGCACCTTTAACAGCCAGCTTCCAAACACTCAGATCAGATCAGCATCTAACAGAGATTCTGGCTCCATCTTATGACCGCTTGAGGAAACAGCAACAAATCACATTTACAGCATGATTTAAAGAAACAGGTATAGCATTGTTACATGATTTATATATTGCCAACTCAACCGTTAGATTATATTCCTAACACTAATTGAACAAGTCACAATTGTGTACCAACACACACACAGACACACACATACATATTACAACATACTGAAGCACAAACCACACACATTTCTTTTTATACAGGACTCTTCCTCATGACTTGTTAACTGCAGTGCAAAATTTTCCTAATCATTAAAAGACATAATATCACAGTGTTGCTTTCATTTCATCACCAGCCCTCCATGGAGGCAGGTTATACTAATGCAGGTGGTCCTAGCTTAACAACCACTTGTTCAATGACTCAATTTATGACAGGTGCTGAACGAGTGATACGTATGACTGGTCTTTGAAAGTTCAAGATGTCATAGCATCCTTGCAGTTATGTGAGAGCCATTTGCAATCTTTATCGCTGCCTTCAGACAAACAAATCCATGGGCTTATAGTAGTATTTTTCTTCTTTTCCTGACACATTCCTCCATCTCAATGTTTGCAATGATAGTGTGGAATTTGTCCAGTTCCTCTTGGCCAACTTTAAAGTATTCCAAGTATATCACGGGTGAAATGCTGCCATTTTGGATCGGTTCGCCCGAATAGATAGTAAAAAATACTATCGGTTTGGTTTCAACAAACAGTTGTATGACAATTAGCTGTGCTGCGCGATTTAGATATTTAGAAATTTAGAAATCTCGCAGCATCAGTTGTTGCACAGCTGATCGTTGGAGCTACCGGTTCCCCTGAACTGGTAGCATTTTTTACTACCGGTTTGGGCAAACTGGTAGTTCCGATGATCAGTGCCTGTGGTGCGTATGCACACAAAGTGCGTGTTTGGTGTGCATGTGTAAAAAGAATGCATGCGCACGCACAGCGAACCAGTAGCAGACTTCAGAGCAGTTCACCCCTGATGCATAATCTATCTCTGGTCACACTACATTGTTTTTTAATTATTTTAGTTAGTATAACAGTAGAGATCAGTCATTTAGCTTTCAGAAAACCAACTTTCAAATCACAATGCATGCCATCACCCATGGATGGAAGCAGGAGAAGTGCTCTGTCAGTCACGACTGTGCCTTCAAAACTGCAGGGTGTGTTTAAAAACTCACGTATGAGAGCTGCTTCCTTTCACTACTTTTCTTGTAGCTTTTCTAACATTAGTCAGAAGTCTTCCTTCACTATCGCCTCTGGATCAGTCATTGTAGCATTCTGTCTATAAAACAGTGGCTGATCCTTGAGGCAGGTAGAGCAACCATCTGTCAAAACATGTCTCTTCCTGTTGGAAAAGCAATAAATTATTCTTTTTTTTTTGCTGGGATGTGATGTCAGGAAAACCAACTGTTGTTTTCTTTAAGTTGCTCTACATTAAGCAAGTGAGAGCAGTTGTTGCTGTTCTTGCTGAGGTACAATAAAGCTTAGCAATGAGAGCAGTTCAAATTTATGGGCTTAATCAGCTTGCTGTATGGATCCTGCCATTTGCTTAGCATATTGTCTGAACCACTCCATCATATTAAGTCTTACATTTGGTCTATTTGGATATAGCACGCTAGGTGACACCATTATGCTTTGTTAACCTGGGTGTAGAGGTTGGCATGATGTACTGTATGATCTGAGCAATTTAGCTGCATAGATTAGAATTTGCACTATCAAATCTGACACCAGACACAGCACTGAACAATAAAAAGAAGCAATGCAAGATTGGAAGACATAGAGAGACCTGGCCCATAGAATCGCCAAGAATTGGACAAGACTGAATGGATGACATCATCATCATCATCATCATTGGGATCTGAATCTTGGGATTTCTAACTATTTTACTATTGATCTGTACCCAAACCATTGTTTGCTGATACCAATCAAAAGCTACTTCTGAGTATAGATTCAAATTTGTTGAGTCATGCATCTCTTTTTTTATCTCAGACATTTTGCCATTGTGGATGCTGAACATTTCCTGGATGTGTGGCTGATGAATGAAGAAGAGGCCAAAGCGCTGATTCGCAAAGCCTTTGATGCTGACCATGTCATCCATTCTCAGCAGTTGGGGTTGCCCTGGACTGAACCTGATGGTTGGTTCCTACACAACGTGGGACCTATCATCCATACTAAGAAGATAAAATCAGCCAATGAGCTGGCCCGTGAAGTGATCACACCTGAGAGTAAGCAAAGTTCCAAAACCTTTGTGGAATTCGGCCTGAAGGCAGCATGATTGATGCAATTTGAGACACATTGCTAATGGCTGTTTAAATGATTCTGTTTCCCATTATAAAAATGGGATTTATTTAGCAAGTAAGAAGTTGATGAGGCGTGGAAATCAGGAAAGGGGGATAAAAATGAAGACAATTGCATAGTTTCCTCAGAAATGAAGGATGAGAGCTTTCTTTTCTCTCAGAAATTGACAAATTCTGCTAAATTCTCCTGCAAAGACTAATTTTCGGACATATGCATAATGCAGAGTATGAAGCCATACCTGGATACACCAGTTTCACATACTTTACTTTCACTACTGTGTTTCCCTGAAAATAAGGGAACACAGATGGACACCTTTTTATAGCTCTTTAAACCAAAAGATTAATTGTATTTTCCCCCAGGATCACATGGCAGCTTTTAAGAGCAGCTAGGTGATCATAGAAAAAGCTACAGCTGCTTTAAAGGGTTTCAGAGAAGTGCCATGTTCATGCCACGACATGCTCTGAAGCACTTTTCGCCTTCATTTGTTCAGAAAGCTTGGTAACTCTGTTAACTTCTCTGTAATTTCTGCAATCTGGCCGTATAAAAAAAATTGCAAGATGATGGCAACCTGTGAAGGAATTTATGGAAGCTGCATCCAGTCTTTTGGGGACCGCATGCAACTTTGGGACTTGGTTTTTACAGCCCTTTTCTAAATAATTAGAGAAGTGACTTCTGATCATGTAACATCGCCCCTCTTCAAACATCCTGTTTTTTGGTTTGGTCAGTTAGTGCCTACAAATTGATGAATACTTGTGACATTGCAAAGGCGAAAAGCTGTTTTTAATACTAATTAAGACTGAAACTTTCTTAGGCATCTAGTAATAAATGTGGAATTTGCCTGGGGTTATGGAATTATAGAAATGTAGGGACTGTTGCTGACCCAGTCATCTTGCATGAGGGATGTTGTATACCGACTTGTTAAATGGCATATGTTAGACCAGATAAAGAACAGCCGATATAATTGCTTTATGTATTTAGGAAAGTTCTCTGCTACGCTGCTGCCCCAGATTCTGGTTTTTTTTCTCTAGCAAGTCAATCACTTCAGCAGCTCTTATCCCCATCTGAGGACAGACCACCAGAAGACAATGAAGCGGTCCCAGAAGAGGAGTATAAAGAGGGTGAGGAACCTGAACCAGAATCAAAGAAACGTTGGTCTATTTCAAGAAAGATCATCAAGCACATTCTGGAGCTCCTTTGTGATGAGTCGGTGAGCTGGGAAAATAAGAAAACATTGGGTTCATCTTTGGCTGCGGTTGTCTGCTTCCGAGGCTGGGCCTTGCTATGTCACAATATCCTCTTGAAGTCATGTCCTAAGTTCACCTTTAGGAATTAGTCCAGCCAGCAATTGATGTTTCCCCTCTTGTCTTCTGTATCTGTTTCCTTGGCCAGGGCTTTTTGATTGAGAGCAAGCTTCGGGGTCTCCTGCAACCTCTAGAGAGGCCTGATCGCGTTCTCATGGAGCTGGACTCCATCTTCACCGTAAGTTCCTGAATTCTCTTACAGAAGTGATAGGGAAAGGATGTACTTGGTCCTTTGGGATTGGGGCCTATATGTGCTACCTTGGAAACTGTTCTGACCTAGGCTTCCTTAAAAAGCATGAAGCAGAGCCTTGGTCCCGGCAAAACCTCTTTTATTTACATGACTGTGAATTCCTTTCATTCACAGTCAAAAAGGCTAGGCAAGTAGTCTTTCAGAGGAATATTTATCAACACGAACCTTATCTCGCTTGGAGAACTGCCAGATAACTAGTTTCCAAATGCAGGGCAAGGCAACACTTGGCGCAGAGTCTCTTATAGTCACAAACAGCACTTTCCACTCTTGAAACGACCGAGGGAACGAATTGTTTCCTGCAAAAGCCCACTCCTTGTTCACTCCTCTTTTGTTTCCTATGGGAGGGGCCAATCACCTCCAAGGTGTGGCTATACTCCCAAGTCAACCCTGCTTTCTTAGTTGTTCTTGTTTT